CTACGGAGGCTTCTTCCCCTTCCCCCCAACACGATGACGGGGCAGCTCTGAACTTAACACAGGTGTCATGAGATGATGAAATGATGTAAAACACCTGTTTACAGCAGCTGTTATCGCTGGTAAAAGCTAGAAAGGGAAATGGTGAGGTGCTGTACCCTCTGAGCCATCCCCCTAGCTTGGGGAGGACGGAGCTCCCCAGCGAGCAGCAGGGCTGCTGCCGCGGTCCTCCACAAGCCACAGAGAATGGGCCAAGACCCATTCTCCTTTGATGTTACACTTTCAAGCTTTCAAAATATGTTTTGTGTCTAGTTATCGTGGCAACAGCCGTCTGAGCCACTTGTACTATGCTTCTTCCCATGTAGCCAGAATTTATATGGGGCAGGAAGTATCTGCCTCGCTCGGAACTGGAGCTCTCAGTCCTGCCCTTGCTTCCCCTTCCACCTACAAAAAGATGTTTCACATGTAGACACATACAAGGAGATGAACAGGGATTTTGTGCTCTTCGTTTCCACATTTCTTCGCCCTCAAATCCCTAGGATCGTGGAGGCAGCACTATACCAGTACAGCTGAATTGGAAACACTTGAAGGTAGATAGACCCAAAATACAGAAACACCTGTGAGAGTTCCTGTTTAGTAACCAAAATTAGCTTCATGATACGCAATTAAACTACTATAAGAATTTGCTATGTTTTAACAGTAATGCTGTTACCATTTATGTCTGATGATATGCTGGGGTTTCTGTGGACTCTTAAGTTACACCTACTGAGTACATTTTTTCACCTGAGAAACAGGAATAAAACCAATCACAATTGTGGACATGAGTACACTTTTGAACTTTTTTTTGAGAATTATTATTATTAAAAGGTTCCACGGAGTAACAAGTGTCAAAATCATGCTGGAGTTTCTATGAGCTCAGTGGGAGTGTAACTTTGTACAGTTCTTGCTTTTGGCTTGAAGGCTGTTATTCAGGATTTCGGATTATAAATGTTTGCAGGAGAGCTGTACAGAGTTTAATAACATTACCTGTATTCATGTAGGATTCTTTTTCCATGGGTCATTCTTTACGTATAGAAGGAAAAGCAGATGTAGGCATTGCTAAAGAGATGAACATCTGTAAGAAAAAAAAAATCTTTTAAGAAAAACTGCTATGCAAAATTAGTTTCTTTGAGCAAGTATATTTATATTGCAAGCTGGTCCTGTTTTCAAAAGAGTAAATGAGATTTTTTGATTCAATGACATTTCAGAATATGCCACATTCTGAAAAGCCAGAGGTCCCAGTGATGAGTAAGAAAAGGCATGGAGAGCTGAGACTGTGACTCAGAACAGGTCTCTGACCAAGACTTTTGGTCTTGGGTGCAGATTCACAGGGGAAAATTAGGGTTTTCCTTCAAGTGATACATATAAGCAAAGTAACACAGAGGGGGCGAAAAAAATTGTCCTTAGTGATATGGCATGTTTTCTGAAGATGTGTCTACTACAGACAGAATAACCATGAGCACCATATTGTACGAGGACAGCAGCAGGCAGATTTTATGTGAAAATTATATTAGCAATTACAACATTAACCTATTTGTGACCTGTGTCCTCATCCAGAGAGCTGACCCATCCTTGTAAGAAAGATAAAGAAAAGCTGATCTCTGCTGTACTGTTAGGACTTTGCTGACACAGAGTAAGGGCAAGTTTAACTGTTGTTTTGGGTTTTTTTAAACTGTGGTATAGTTGACAAAGTAAAATATCCTTTTCAAAAGTTCAGACAAGATTCTGTTCAATTCTTGTTTATTAACTGAGTGGTTAAAACAAGATGTGTGTTCATTCATTGGCCAAAGTGACATTAGCCTTTCTCTTCTGGATGCTGGGTTAAATCATGTGATCAAATAGTCTAAGCAGAGTTCGTCTGAGCCAGTTTATTCACACTGATTTCCCA